CTCTTTCCATTCGTCTTCCATTCCCATTCGTTTCTTGAGCAATAATTACAATCACCGTACTCGCCGATCAACCTCGCCGCGCCCGAATTTATTTATAAATAATATATATATTTATATATTTATACTCGTATTTACTCGACGTTAAAACCCAACGTTTCGCGCGACACGAAACACACACCACCGGAGCTCCCTCTTCGATCCGCAATTTCGATTACTCTCCACGTGCACGTGCTTCGACGCCAGCCACGAGTCAGCGATCCGTCGTCGACGTCGGTCGTCGAGACGCGCTGGATCGACGGTAATCGAACCGATGCCGAGTCACTCGATTCGACCCTTAGTCAGGCCTGGATTCGCCCGACGACGACGATAACGCGAGGCTATCGCGTACGTACCTGCGCAAAATCGTTTAAAGTACTCGTGTACACCGATACCAGGGTACCGGCGTTCCCGTACACTCCCCCTCGTCCCACCTACCCCCATGGAAACGTTGGATTTTCACACAGCACTGGTAAAGTTCGTAACCCTTAACTAGGCTTACCTCAAACGCTTATAACCAATAAATAGACATCGACAACTAATTACAAACGCTTCCAAAACGGACCAGGGTACCGACGTCGAGGCGTCGTACCCCTCGCGTACACGCGTCCCCGTGCACGCGTAATCGTTCGTGTCCCGTGATCGACGTTTCGACGATGATCCGTCGTGGATCGATCCGTCGTCGCCACGCGTCTCGCTTACAAATAAATACAACGCCCTCGCGTCCTTCGACTAATCGATCCTCAGCTATGGTGCAGCCGTCCTCGTCTCTTCCCCTCCGTGGTGATCCTATTCCTTACCCTTCCACTCGTTTCTCGCGATTGGAACCGCGCCGAATGACGCGGAGGCAGCCATCCGACGACGAGGAGCCAGTTGGCGCTCGCGTCGACGCGTGTCGATCGCGCGGAAAACGGTTCGCCGAGAACCGCGGCGACGGGAAAGCTTCCTGCTGCCGTCTCGAGTAAGCTTCCCGTTCGCTCTCGCGAACGCCAGGCGTCGCTTGCATCGACGTATAAATTATTCACAGCAGCGCGGCGTCGCGACGTCGAGGACAACGGAAACCGAGCGAAACAACAGTCCATCGTTACGCGCCGTGGCATCGAGCCCGCGTATCCTCGGCCACGCGAACGACGACGACGCCGACAGCGACGCCGACGACGACGACGCCGAAGACGACGAGCGTCTCGCGAATCGCTCGCTCGGCCTGTCCCGGAAACGGAATTTCGGGGATCACGCGCAGTCCAAGGACGCCAAGGAAGCGGGACTGTGCGGCCCGCCCAGCATGAATGGAGGGCTCATCGGCGGACCACCGCTTCCGGTGCTGTTGCCATAAAGCTCAAGGTCGCCAAGGGAACCGCCGTCCACGCTGCCGTCGCACTTGTCCGACTTCCCCTCCTGCTTCAGCACCATGCGCCGCCATTTTGCGCGGGCGTTCTGGAACCAGACCTGCGAACACACGGAGACCACACGGTTGAATATACACGTATCGCGTGCTTCCCGATGCTTCAGCTGCAAGGCTGATCGAACAGACAGAAAGAGAGAGAGAGAGTGGAGAAAGAGACGACTCGAGTGGCTGATCCGGCGAATGTTACTTCTCTCCGGTTTCGAGTGTAATTTCCTAGCCTTGTTGCTATTTGTTCGCGGATAGACTCGCCGCTCGAGTGCCTGCTCGAAGGCTAGTTAGAGAGCGTATCCGCCGATGGATTATACCTGGTATAATAACTGGCCTATACTCGATTCGGGAAATGCAAACCGCGCGTGAACGCGGGTCTACGTTTCTTGCAACCTCGAAACCGTCTTACTCCGCGAGTTAGCAAACCCTGCCCTCGGGGGACGTTGCCGGGCCCCCGCGTCATTGCACCTGACGGCCGAAAAGAATCGTGGAACAAAAGGAGGAGGAGGGACAGTCGAAGAACACGAGGATGGTCGACGAGGGCCAAAAAGCTCGCGCGCCTCCAATGTATCTTCATCGAGGGGTACAGCCTTCTCGGCTGCGGGGTGCAGAGGGAAGGAAAGGACAGAGGGCGAAAGGGTGGGCGAGATAGAGAGAGAGAGAGAGAGAGAAGGCGATTTAAATGCAACCACACGCGCAGAGGCGCGTCAGCGGGCCAGGCCCCGCTAGGATAGCTACATCGGTCCACACAATGCAACAATATATAATGCCACGACACACAGCCCGGAGGCTCTGCTGTCCCTCCGTGGCTCCCTCGCCACGCCACTCTACCCTCTGTTCCCGATAGATAAAAGACGGCCTCGATGCACGGATCCGGCGTCGCCATTTTCAAGATAGTCTCCTCCCCCGCGGACTGAAACCCAGCAGAGACTTCCAACCGACACAACGGTGGGCCTCCCCTTCGTGGTCGGGCCGTATACGAGTGTTTCTCCCTGTGGTGAGCTCGCTTGGCCGCGCTCGCGCGTTTCAATATACCTATTATGGTTACCGGCGTACGTGTGCGCGTGTTGGCGCGCGTGCGAAAGTGTCTGTGGGTTAGGTGCGCGCGTTCGTGTGTCCGTACATAGAACGAGCAGCAGAGAGACGAGAGGAGAGCGGCGACGAACGCAGCCGCGGCGAATGAGCGAGTATTCGTGCGTTTCGCGATCAATATCAAGCAAGATGGCGACCAAGAACCCTACGCCGCACCGAATACAATAGGCCGGCTCTCGCGCCTCCTCCCCTGGCCCACCCGACGACCCCCGGCCTTTTCTCTTTCTCTAGATCTTCTGCCGGCTGCTGCCGGCTGCTGCCGGCGCCATCGAGTCACCGCGCGCTCCTCTGTCTGCCTGCATCCACGCCGAGTGGCTGCTTCACGGCCGTGCACACAGCCGCACAAGGATTTCGAGGATCTCGTTCTTTCGCCGGAGAAACAAGGAGTCGCGCGCTCAAACGGGTTAACTTCATCGGCCGAGCACCGCGCGAGATGGATCGTTCCGAGGGAAACTTTCGCGGTTCGCTGCGTACGCGCCATCTCGCCGACCATGCGAGCGCTTCTCTGCCACCGTGTTTTCCAGGAAATCGCGACACGACCGATTCCGCGTACAGTTCCACCGCACCAAACATCCCCACCGTGCCCTGAGGAGACTCGTAAACCATCGGTGGCTTCCGAGAACAGCCACTGGCAGCCATAAACCATCCTCCTATAGGACGACGTGAACCCGAAGCAACGCGATTAATTCGTCGTAAAAAGCTGGCAGGGGCCTACCTAGCCGCGGAACAACCGGAAACGATTTCGCCGATAATCACACGGCTTCGGCCCCGAAAGACCAGAAGCCTGTCGGGTCTAATCGGCCAATGGCGACGATTTGGCCGCGGACCTGGCTCGCTCGGATCGCTGTGGAACCGCGATCGGATCGGCCGGTCTCTCGTGCTGCTGACTCTGCGAGGCGTGTGCTGCTGCACGGCCGCCCGTTTCACGAAATAGATTCCTGGCCCGTGTAATTTAACGGTAGTGGGTTAACGAGGGCAGCGCGGCGCTCGTTACGACAAAACTTGCCCGGCCGGGATTTTGAGTAGCGGCGGATTGACGGAGGGCCATAATTACGGGGAAAGGCCACAGAGGCTCGTCGACGGAAATATCACCGTGGCCCATGCGGTTCTTTTACCTCAACGCGCCGCCGGCAGCACGCACTAATTGGGAGAAGCGCGCGCGTACGTCTCCAGCGCGCGCGGTTCGGCCGCACGTGAATATTTTTATAGGAGGCCTGGCAAGCAGCGACGCCGACCGCCGCTCAAGGGGTGAGCCGGGGCTGGCACGACGGGAGGAAGAGAAAAAGAGAGGAAAAACGATCGAACCACCGGCTATCCATCTTCCAACCGCGATTTTTCTCTGCACCTTTTTTACCCGCCTCTGGAAACCTCCGCGACCCTCTCGAAACCGGGGCCTAGGGCTCCTTCCCGTCTCCCAGGCTCCGATGGATATCTGCGAGGGAGAACAACGCGTCTTTTCGTCGCCAGACTTTCTGCTCTGCCTCTCCTTCTCTTTCTCTCCTGATCTCTCTCTCTCTCTCTCTTCATTTCGCTTTTTCTTTTTCGCTGCGAGAAAATTGCTGTCTTCGCGTCGGAAACAACCCTTGTCCAAGAATCCTTGTTCTTTTAATTTTTCGATAATAATAAAAACGATAATAACACCGATTGTGTGGAATCGAATTAAAAATTGATAAATATTTTCTCTCTCTATCGAGAGTCTAATAAAATCGATAAATATCGGTTTTGCCTCTTTGATATTTTATTATTTATTATTTTTCAAAGGTCTAACTAGTAATTAGACTACTTCCACTGAAATGTTATTTACTGGCTTAAAATTTCGAACTAGATCCCATGCTAGATTTTCCAATAATGAATCGCGAAATTGTCGACGACGTCGAATTTTGTACTCGCCGTGACGAATGTCCGAGAGCGCGTGATTAATGAACTCGCAAACCTGGAACCGCGGCGAAGACTCTTTCCATTCGGAGAAAGGCAGAGAGGTTTCTTCCAAAGGGTAGACGATCCCGTGAAAACAATCGGTCTATTTATCTTGCAGACTGGAGACACGCAAAAATGAATCACCGTCTGTCCGAGATCGAAACGGAGGATCTCGAGGGAAAACGGTAGACGAGGATTTTCCCCGGGTCCTCTCATTTCGCGTACTAACAATCTCTTCTATCTTTAACCTACCGCCGCGTGTTCCACGTTTCGAGTGCCGCCGAAATAAACGTAACACGGTCGCATAAATTCCAAAGACACCGCGGCCGGATCGAACAACACGAGAGGGAGCGCAACGATACAATCTGTCCAAAACGACGTCCCCGAAAAGGTCCCGGGGACAGTTTTAGCTGGCCTATGAAGGGCGTCATGCGTCATTGACGGCGTGCACTAATTGGAGGAGGCCGGTGCACGCCCGACGCGAATACTTTTCCCGCGAACCGGCTCTCTAAATTTCCTTTTAATTGCTCATCGCCACGATTCCGCGCCTCCTAATACTTGCCCCAACGCGTGAACGTGGCGAATCGTTCTACGAGAAATTTTACCGATCTTCGCGATCGAAATTGATCTACGAGACGATACAGTACAGCGTCGAAAAATTTTTCCGTAACCTAGGGAATTCTCTGATCAACCTAGGGAATTCTAAACTCTAACCATTCTACGAACAGAGCACCTTCTTGTATCCTTCTTTGCGAAAAAATTGACAAATTTTTAGCTCGAATTCGAATTTTTAATTCGATTTCTTCAAAAAATATATTAATCACGAGAATGACAAGAAAATATAGTTCCATTTTGCGTGGATCCAAGAAGCTTCCCTCTATCGGTAATTTTACGAATTAGACCGGATTCTTAACCTCCTTAGGTTAAGGAAAATTGGATAATGGGGAAAATTTATAAAGACACGACATAGACATTATTAACAAATAGATTGGAATAAGAACGCAATGTCCTATGATCTACTTCTTCAGAAAAAATATTAATCACGAAAATCATAATGAAATATAGTTTCATTTCCCACGGATCCGAGAAGCATCCCTCTATCGGTAATTCTACGAACTAGGCCGGATTCTTAACCTTCTTAGGTTAACGAAACTTGAAAAGTGAGGAAAATTTATAGACACGTGACAGAGGCAATATTAACAAATAGATCACAATAAAAACGCAATGTCCTATGATCTACTTCTTGAGAAAAAATATTAATCACGAAAATCATAATGAAATATAGTTTCATTTCACGTGGATCCGAGAAGCATCCTCCTATCGGTAATTCTACGAACTAGACCGGATTCTTAACCTTCTTAGGTTAACGAAACTTGAAAAGTGAGGAAGATTTGTAGACACGTTACAGAGGCAATATTAACAAATAGATCACAATAAAAACGCAATGTCCTATGATCTACTTCTTCAGAAAAAATATTAATCACGAAAATTATAATGAAATATAGTTTCATTTCACGTGGATCCGAGAAGCATCCTCCTATCGGTAATTCTACGAACTAGACCGGATTCTTAACCTTCTTAGGTTAACGAAAATTGGAAAATGAGGAAAATTTATAGAGACGCAATAGAAGCAATGTTAACAAATAGATCGGAATAAGAACGCAATCTTCTATGACCAATTCCTTCAGAAAAAATATTAATCACGAGAATCACAATAAAATATAGTTTCATTTCACGTGGATCCGAGAAGCACCCCTCTATCGGTAATTCTGCGAACTAGACTATAAGAATAAGAAGTTTAACGAAAATTGGAAAATGGGGAAAATTTATAAAGGCGCGACACAGGAAACGTTAACAAATAGGTCGAAATAAGAATTCGATATCCCATGATGGATCAACTGTCGAGAAAGGTGATCGGAGAAGAAACCGATGATATAACTCGATCGCGAGAGCGTGGAACCTCGAGTGGCGACTCCGTCGATGAACCCCTGCGCGATTAATTTTCCCAGGGCAAAAAGCGAGCAGCATCGTCCTCGCCGCGATAACGGATCCGGCGAATCGTGGAACATCGCAAAACCGTTCGCGATCCCTCGCGATTCGATCGGTACGGAACAGAAGGCTATAAAGACTATAGGCTGATTTGAAGTCGCCCGTATCGGCTCTATCAGCCCAGGGGATCTTTTCCGGCGGCGGTGGACCGAACCTCTCGCGCCCAAGGGTTGCACCGGCTGGATTTATGTCTCGCCGAGGACGTCCGTCTCGCCGATACCACGCCATCCGTCAATATCGCCGCCACTCTCTTACGATCCTTTATCATTTCACGAGTAATTGTTCTCTCTTCGAGTAAAGGTCAGAGAGGAGGGAAAGGATTAAGGCGAAAGTTCAACGAGGAAAGTTTTCATTTATTTTAACCAATACTGTGACTAGGGACTGTAGTAATCTAGAGACTTCGTGAAATATTTGACCATTAAGCGTCTTTCGTTTGTTACTCGCTCGTCTAGATTTATTAATAGATTGGACGATAAATATGTGAAAATTGGCGAATAGTTGACGGATATTCGACGAAAGGGAAGAATGTTTAATTTCTCAAAAAATAGTTACATTTTAGATTAAATATCGAAGGATGTCTTTGGACATCGTAGCATCGTGAAACGTAGGAAAGAAGTTGCACGATGTCGAATACCAGTAACGAGGTAACCGCGATAGAAAAGGAAAAGCGAGGGATTGGAAGACACTTTGATAGCGGAGATCACGCGCCAGGGTAGGGAATAAAGTTATCGCGGCAACAATTGCGGGCTCTAGAGGCAATACGAAGACCGTCGGAAGCGGCAATGCGGCTGGTCGCGACTCTAGCGCTGTTTGATGTGTATCACAGCTCATTAGCTCCTCGAGTGCAAACAAGAAGGGTGATAGCGTATGCGAAAGACCAGTGGATACACGGCCAATTACAACTCTATGCAGCAAATAGTTTGCAGGCACGATACCTCATTCCGGTATATCTATCCTGTCCACGAGACTTGGCCGTCCCGAGGAGAATAAAGCGACGCTCGACAGTCGTCCGGCCAGATGCCGGATCGATAAGATCGAGATCGATCCTCTATCGCGTGGAAATCTGCGAAACCGTTGACTCGTCGAGGATGAACGACCACCTCGTTTTTTCTCCCTTTTTTCACCTTCCCTCGTTCATCCGCTACTGTTCCCTATCTGAACTGGATTCTGCGAACTTGCCGCTGAGTTGATGAACTCCTAGATCTCACGGAGATCTTGTGAGAATTCCTAATTACTATGCCGGCGATTATTCGGGACCGTGAGAGAGTCTATATGGGCGTCGAGCTATCGGTATTCCCGCTTCCGTTTTTACCTTATTAATAACCAGCTCGGGTAAACGAATCCAAGCAGCTAACGAACGAAGCGTCGAAGGCCCTGACACCGGTGTGTACGCGTATACCTGATCAGTCGCGAGTTCTCATAGCGGCCGAGCATGGAGGATCGAGGAGAAAAGGAAAAGCTGGAAGAAGCAGGCCCGGCGACCTTGCCGGCCAAAAGACCCAATCGACGAAGGACCCCCTATCAAATTATTTTATTTCCAACGATAAATTCTCGCGCCTACTTCGACCGGCCTACTCCGCCAGCCTAACCCGGCAAACAGAACAAATAATTCGCAGTGATCCCGTGTCAAGGCATCATCGTTCGCGGACACGGCCGGGACCAGGCTGCGGAGATCTTTTTCGCTGAAAACGGTCGAAAAGAAAAGGAAGAGAGGAGAGATAAGGGACGAAAAGGGGAAGAAAAGGAGAAAACTGGTCCCGAGTTAGAGAACGGCACACGGCCGGTGGTTCTTCGTCCAGGCGACTCGTCTCGAGTGCCTGCTCGTCCGTCGTTGTTCCCACGGTCGGTCAACAATCGAAATTAAGTTCTCGAAGGCGGAGAAGGAAGCTGCCGCGGCGCGCTGCCCACGCGCGACACGTACACGCTTTGTTGGGATTGGATTCGTGAATTTATGTCGCGGCGACAAATTTTATCAGGGTTCGGTGGCAAACACCAAGCGCCCACGCGCGCCCGTAAATCACCGGACGAGCGCACACCTCGGATCCGTCGTGTTACGTGCGCGTACGCGGCGATCTCTGACCGCGTGGCTCCGGCTCGTACTACGTGCATCGGACCAGGCAACCTGGCGCTCGTGTAAGAATTTTCGTCTGCACGCGATCGCGATCGTCGCCGCGACACCGACAATGAAAATCCACCGCGCTGATCTAGGTACCTTGGGACTGTTCTTAGAAGCTGGATCAGGGGAGCGGTTAGGCGAGCAGGGGTGCACACTTCCACGGCCACTCGCGACGGGATCGAACGTGTTACGTGGACAGCTTGTCCTGCTATATAATTAGAGGGACGTCGCTGCTGTTCCGAGCCAGAGGTATCTTTCAGGTAGTTGCTTCTTTGGAATGGGGAAATTGGACTTGTTCCTGGCTTTGGCAGACGTTTGCTTTGTCACCGATCAGGAGCGAGCTTTCCAACCGTTTTCTCTTTCGTTTTGTGACTTATACTCGTGCATCTATAGATCCGAATTAGGAATCGATAGGAATATTTTGATCGTTTCGATGGTAGGGGTGAATTGGATCAAGGTGCGGTCAACGAGCACGCGTTTCTCGTCAAAGGACAATGTCAACTATTTGCGATTTTTTGATTAAAATTGGTGTCGTTATTGGGGGATGAATTTATAGGATTTATTTAGGACGCTACAGATAAATGGAAAATCATCAAAATAAATATCGCGATATCAGGAAATGAGGAAATTGGACTTGTTCCTGGCTTTGGCAGACGTTTGCTTTGTCACCGATCAGGATCGAGCTTTCCAACCGTTTTCTCTTTCGTTTTTTGACTTATACTCGTGGATCTATAGATCCGAATTAGGAATCGATAGGAATATTTTGATCGTTTCGATGGTAGGGGTGAATTGGATCAAGGTGCGGTCAACGAGCACGCGTTTCTCGTCAAAGGACAATGTCAACTATTTGCGATTTTTTGATTAAAATTGGTGTCGTTATTGGGGGATGAATTTATAGGATTTATTTAGGACGCTACAGATAAATGGAAAATCATCAAAATAAATATCGCGATATCAGGAAATGAGGAAATTGGACTTGTTCCTGGCTTTGGCAGACGTTTGCTTTGTCACCGATCAGGAGCGAGCTTTCCAACCGTTTTCTCTTTCGTTTTGTGACTTATACTCGTGGATCTATAGATCCGAATTAGGAATCGATAGGAATATTTTGATCGTTTCGATGGTAGGGGTGAATTGGATCAAGGTGCGGTCAACGAGCACGCGTTTCTCGTCAAAGGACAATGTCAACTATTTGCGATTTTTTGATTAAAATTGGTGTCGTTATTGGGGGATGAATTTATAGGATTTATTTAGGACGCTACAGATAAATGGAAAATCATCAAAATAAATATCGCGATATCAGGAAATGAGGAAATTGGACTTGTTCCTGGCTTTGGCAGACGTTTGCTTTGTCACCGATCAGGAGCGAGCTTTCCAACCGTTTTCTCTTTCGTTTTGTGACTTATACTCGTGGATCTATAGATCCGAATTAGGAATCGATAGTAATAGTTTGATCGTTTCGATGGTAGGGGTGAATTGGATCAAGGTGCGGTCAACGAGCACGCGTTTCTCGTCAAAGGACAATGTCAACTATTTGCGATTTTTTGATTAAAATTGGTGTCGTTATTGGGGGATAAATTTATAGGGTTTATTCAGGACGCTAAAGATGAATAGAAAATCATGGAATAAATAAGTATCGCGATATCTTCGGAATGGGGAAATTGGACTTGTTCCTCGCTTTGGCAGACGTTTGCTTTGTCATCGATGGGGAGCGAGCTTTCCAACGATTTTCTCTTTCGTTTCACGACTATATTCGTGGATCTATAGATCCGAATTAGGAATCATATTAATCTTATCGATAGTATAGGTGAATTGGATCAAGGTGCGGTCAACGAGCACGCGTTTCTCGTCAAAGTGCAATGTCAACTATTCGCGATCTTTTGATTAAAATTGATGTCTTTATCGAGGGATAAATTTACAGGATTTGTTTAGGACGCCAGAGATGAATGAAAAATCATCGAGTAAGTAAATATCGCGATATCAAAAAATGGCTGGAGTTTAATTATCCAATTTGTACAGGGAACTGTGTTTCAAAATGAGCAACGGTAAAAGGAGTTTTCTGGGTTGCCTGCGTCGGTGTTAAAATTAATAGGCACGAGTTTCATGGTGCAAAGGTAATGACTCATTGATGAGTTACGAGGTTTTAATACGACTTAATTGAACCACGATAGGAGCGTTCCTTTCGTGCTGTTAATTTATCGAGATGGGAAGTTCAACAACACTCTGCGCCTTTTTTTCCAAGCCCGCCAACGGAATTTACTACGTTTTCTTGTTAAGCAAACATTCGACCACTTCACGGTCCAAAAAATCCTACAGCAATTTGGCTGAGTTACGCGTCTGGTGCTTTCTAATTGCGAGCCATGATTATTGCGTGATATATTCTAGGAACAAAGCGCGTGCGAACGCGCTGCCGCTGCAATTTGCCTCTGTTCTATCGGAACGTTTCGCCTTCATCTGCGATCGGATCTCTGCAACGCACACACGTCACTGCCAGAACGTTAATCCGCCCGTGAAGAATTTCTCTAAAATAACTTTTGAATTCCTCGAAGGACAATGTGCAAGCTTTTTATAAATCTGGCACGTGGTGCAACCGAGAAAGCGATGAATCACGCCTCGGCTGTAGGATGCTATCGGCCAACAGTACTCGATACAACTCGAAATAATATGCAACGCGAGAATAACGCGAAACAAAGGTGCAAATATTCCTCCAAATGTCCCCAGATGCTCTTAGTTACACTCGGTAGGAGAGACGACACGGTTCGTTACTAAACGCACGAGCAGAATCGAGTGACCAGAGAATACTCGTCATCCTCCATCGATCCCTTTCAGCCCGGACATTTAACATTTTCCCTCGTTAAAATTCTCACACCGAATAGAAGATTTTCTACCAAGTATCTCTACTCGGGTTCTGTTCGGATCGCTCACCTATGTTGGCGGTCATAGCCTCGAGATCCTTGGGCTTCCTCTTCCTTGGCCTTCCCTTCTGTCTGGGCGGCGGCACGACGGCGGCGCCATTGAAGTACGGTACCTTGGGTGGTGAGCCCGCGTCAGGCGCGGATGGCGTCGACGGCTGAAGCGGTACCGGGCTCACGTGGCTGTGGGGATGCTGCGGGTGCATCGAGTGGTGCGGGTGCGGCGGATGGGAGGGATGATGATGATGATGGTGAAGGAATTCCGGCGAGGGGAACGGCTGGCCGGGATAGTGCGGACCGGGCGGGTAAACCGGAACCGGAGGACTCTGGGACGGATGCAGCTCCGCGCCCATCTCGTAGTGCAACCGACAGAGCACCGCGCCATCCCTCATCCCGAAGTGATCGCCCTTGGTCAGCGGGACCGCGCAGGCTGCGCACGAGAAGCAGCGGACGTGGAACACCAGGTCTCTGGCCCGCATCACCAGCTCCGAGGCGAGGATTGCCGCGTGACACCGGGCGCATCTCTTCATGCTGCCAAACATTCTGCGAAGCAAATCTTTCGTTATTTCCTTTCCCTTGCTGTAACAAAGCAGTTCGTTTAACAGTGCTCCTATGTAAATCGTAAATTATAGGAACGAATATTCCGATAAAGACGGAACAAAAATTTTCGCTGTCAAAGAGATACAGGTTGCGTTGCGTCCTAGCCTAATCTCTGTCATACGCGTTCCTCGATCAGGATAGGTGACGTGAGGATTTCTGAGGGCTGCTACGAATCGTACAACGTAGACACAAGTGGTGAATGGGGAACGCGGAAGAGTTGGCAATTGTAACTCCTATTGAGTGGAAGGAACAGCAGCCCCACCCCTCTGGAGGCTGCAATTTGCAAGAGGCTCGAAATGCCGGGGTGGCTAAACGTTCTAGCGCTCGCAGGCGGCTCGTGGTCGCAGGGGCATATCTTTCGAGCTGGACCGGCCAATTAACGAGGCAAGAAATCGAGCGACGTCCGTACAACGTCCGCCGACACCGGGATACACACGAGCGGATCGAAGGAACGAACGGACGGACCGGCGGCCATAACAAAAATAACCAAGAAATTATCGTAACTGCGGGATGCAGGCGGCGCCCATTTTTCCATTCACTTTAAACGATACAAACACATCCGCATGGAGAATGTTTCCCATCGTCCGAGATATCCGCCGTGTCCCCCAGATAGGGTTCCGTTAAATCGAGGAAAAAAGAAGGCAACCGGCCGCAGATAAACAGCCACCGCCAGAGAAGTGTCCGTGGCACGAACGTGGATCGAAGTGGAACAGAGACAAGCCGAGACACGTAGAAACTCGGTGATATCGCCAAGGTAGGGAAGGGACACGTATGGTAAACCGCGGAGGAGCAAAAGGGCGGAAAGGGAAGGAATATACCGATGCAACGGGCACCGTGACATCGCTACTGCATTAGCGGCACCCTGCAGTCTCCATTACCGAAGCCGGTCGACTATCTACCCGACATCCACCACGGCTACCTACCTAACCACCTATCTCACTCTCCACCTCCTCCCAAATATATTACGTTCCCTCGCAGCCGTACTAAAGAACCTAGATAGAGACGTGGCCGATCTTATAACCCTGATGCCGCGTCGGATCCAGTCCTGATGCTCAACCCGCCTATACGTATAGAAATACATGGCAGACCTATTCGTACAGCTAGAGACGTATGCGTGCCGATTCCTCATCCCGATGCCTCGCTGATTACGCTTCCGCGTAGTACTGAAATTCCGAGACGAAGATCTGGACGAGGAACAACGAAGAATTCGTTCACGATGATCTTCGACTCCAAATGGACGAACTACGTATAGAGAAATCCGTCTACGAAGGATTTAGGCATCGCTCCTAGATTTCTAAGTAGGTCTTTCGAGATGCATGGAAAGACGAGTCGCTAGCGCGAGATTGAAGAGGAAGCCGTTCGAAGGGGAAACGGTTTTGTCGATAGGTTGCCTTAAATCACGTCGATACGCGTAGCGAGACAATGATTTTTCAGAGATCGGCCGATATCGACGGAGTGAATGGGGAAATGCGGGAAAACAAAAGGAGGATGTGGCCACGCGAAATCGTGCACGCACCGCGGAGCAACGATCTCAGCAATTGGAAAACGAGAAAATGGAGGATAACGATCAGATACCGCGTAACGGAAAAGCAAGCAGAAGCCCGGGTAACGAGTTTCGTTGTTCCTCGATGAAACAACGACCCGGTCTATTCGATATTCTGGAGTCTCGTAAAGGGAACACGACGCGTATCCTGTCCTGCTCGATATCGCGATGAACGGGAAAAAAGTAACAAAAACGCGTCTTTTGTCTAATATCTCTACAACCACGACTTAAACTCGAATTTTAGCTCGAATCAACGCTCGATCTATCTCTCCAACTGAGCCCATTCGACTGGTACGTCAAATTTCTTCGTAGATTCCGGCAAAACACTGTCAATATCGAATGACAGCGCACTTTGTGTCAAATTAATCCTCTTCCTCGATTTCACGTCCAACTGAACACAGGATTTTCGAAGCTAGTTAGGAAAATATCAGGCGCCCAAGTATCCTGTCTTTTTCGATATAGCGATAAAGGGGAAAAATGTAACAAAAACGAGTTTTTTGTCTAGTATCTCTACAACCACGACTTAAACTCGAATTTTAGCTCGAATCAAAGCTCGATCTATCTCTCCAACTGAGCCCATTCGACTGGTACGTCAAATTTCTTCGTAGATTACGGCAAAACACTGTCAATATCGAACGACAGCGCACTTTGTGTCAAATTAATCCTCTTCCTCGATTTCACGTCCAACTGAACACAGGATTTTCGAAGCTAGTTAGGAAAATATCAGGCGCCCAAGTATCCTGTCTTGTTCGGTATAGCGATAAAGGGGAAAAATGTAACAAAAACGAGTCCTTTGTCTAGTATCTCTACAACCACGATTTAAACTCGAATTTTAGCTCGAATCAAAGCTCGATCTATCTCCTCGACTGAGCCCATTCGATGGTACGTCAAATTTTTTCGTAGCCCTCTGCAAAACACTGTCAACATCGAATTACATGGCACTTTGTGCCAAATTAATCCTCTTCCCCGATTTCACGTGCAACTGAACACAGGCTTCTGGAACCGAGTATCACGATTTAAACTCGAATTTTAACTCGATCTATCTCTTCAACCGAGCCCATTCGACGGTACGTCAAATTTCTTCGTAGATCCCGGCAAAACACTGTCAACGTCGAATGACAGCGCACTTTGCGTCAAATTAATCCTCTTCCCCGATTTGACGTCCAACTGAACACAGGCTTTTCGAAGCTAGTTAGAAAAATATCAGGCGCCCAAGTATCCTGTCTTGTTCGATATAGCGATAAAGGGGAAAAATGTAACAAAAACGAGTCTTTTGTCTAGTATCTCTACAACCACGATTTAAACTCGAATTTTAGCTCGAATCAAAGCTCGATCTACTCGAATTTTAGCTCGAATCAAAGCTCGATCTATCTCCTCGACTGAGCCCATTCGACGGTACGTCAAATTTTTTCGTAGCCCTCTGCAAAACACTGTCAACATCGAATTACATGGCACTTTGTGCCAAATTAATCCTCTTCCCCGATTTCACGTGCAACTGAACACAGGCTTCTGGAACCGAGTTCGAAAAATATTCACCGAAACGAGTCCGACAAGTAGACTCGATTCGAAGTCCCATTCAGGTGTCCGCGGGAGTTAGCGTCAAGCCGTTGTCAACACCTCTTCACAGGGACACGAGCGAAACGAGCGGAACGCCGGGATAGAAGTAGCCAGTCATTCGGCAGCCTGGCCCCACGATGGGTGCAAAGGTCCAGCAAATAGCGTTACGTGCCACGGAGTCTTCTCGTCGAAGGGATTCGGCCGGGTTCCCCGTAAAACCTAAACCTAATCTAATGGATTAGCCACGGCGAGTCCACGGGCCGTCGAGGGTCTCTTGACTCGAGACACATTGTTATCGTTGCTGATCCTATTGACAGCCCCCAATTCCGCCACGCATCCGGAGCACAATGGCTGCGGTAGTCTGGTTTGCGCGCAGCGGGATAACCCCGCGTATTTTCGCCTAATCAGATCCGTTCGAGCGTGTTGGGTAATCGACTGGTCCTCTTTCGGATTCGTACAACAGCCAACTCGTCTTTGCCCACGGGCGTTCTCGCGAGGCTTCCCGAAGGTGTTTGCCGAGGGCACCGAATCCTTTGTTACCCCTCCTCGCTTTGTTCCCGAGTTTAGCTGGATATCAATTTGTGGACGCAAAGGTCGAGCATGGTGGTTGGTCAAGGATGTCGGATTTCGGTTCCTTCCCCGTTCCTTTCCCTTTGCGTGTCTCACGCGTCCCTGTCTCAGGTCCCAACACCTAGCCAACCCGTCAGCAGACCGCAAGCTATTCACAGCTTGGAAAAATCCATCTCCAGGGGAGTGGATAGGCAATTCGATGTTTTGGCAATTGCTTGCCCCGTTGGTCGAGCGTGTCTTCCTCGGCTCGCCTCCCCAAGAGGGCTGGCCCGCCGATGGATGAATGAACGGGCTGCTCCACGACCGGGAATAACCTCATTCACGGCTTCCATCCGTCCTTCCACGCTCGTCCTGGTTCCACGGAGGGGGGACGCCCGCAGAGTTTTACAAGATGCGCCATATGCGATACATTATTATACAATGCGAGTTGCCGCGGTATTCTAAGCGCGGCCGGAGCCTCGCTTTTTCGCTCGCTCCTAAACGGATCGTACCCGTACCTCGCCACAAAGAGTCGGAAATCTTTTATAATACGCGACTACTCGCGCGGCCGGGGACCACTTGCCGCGCGTTCGCACACTCGCTGCATCCGTCCACCACGTGGATTCCCGGCTTTCGTCTCTCCTCTCTCTCTCTCTCTCTTTCTCTCTCTTTCTCTCGCTTCCCTCTGGCCCGACGCGACCGCTTTCTTCTCGGCCCGCTTTCTTTGCCCCCCGTCCTCGCACGGACCCCGAGATATGCCCGCGAGGACACGAGCCCCGCAGAGGCCGCGATTTCTCACGTGCCGCCTCGACAACTCGCGCCGCTCCCGTCCTCTGCTCCACGCGTCTTCATCCTCCACCGTTGCACCCCGCCGTTTCCTTCCCCTCGCACACGCTTCTGGGGATGATTCTTTATGTCGCTACATAAACTCTACTTCGCCTTGCTTCATTTTTCCCTCGCCACACTCCTCTCCTTTCTTTTTCCTCGCTCGCAGGGAACAAAAGTTCGCGCGGAGCTGCAACGATTGCGGAGAACTTTCTGGCAGTCGTTCCATACATTTCGCGTGCTTCTTTGAGTACCCGAGAGCGTTTGTGTCGATGCAAAGGCGGGAGGATTGGTAAATTCTAGCTCTTGCATTAGCAAAGTGATAAAAGTTGCGGAAGGTTGATGAAACCTGAGTAAAATCTTGGGACAGAGTGAGGGAAACGATTTGATAAAAGTCGCACCTGTACCAATCTTGATAAGTGTCAAGATTTATCGACTGTCAGGCTTTCGTGGTAATATTTGAACAATT